ACTATTTTCTTCACTAGATTATATTGTTATATCTGATGTTTCACAAACAATTCCAATTACCTCTTCGCATGTGCTAAATTCATCCATTTGAAATCAATGAGCCATCACAAAATAATCAAATCATGTATACCCTAATATTGTAAAAATTTCAACCACACATCTACATTTATAGACTTCAAGGCTCCTGTAGTATCACTAATGAAATGTGTCCATTACTATTGTCTTATTCATTATGCCATTTTGTTTCTTTACATTTACCATTATATTTTATAGTTATCCCTGAACATAGCTACCAATGTTAGTATCTTTAAGCAACCACCTATAATAATATCAACCTTCTATAATATTAATTAAACAAAATTCTAGTACTCACAGCTAAAATTATCCTTCAAAAATATTACCCTTGTATGCAATTAATTAAACAAAATTCTATTACTCATAAATAAGATTATACTTCAAAAGCATTATCCTTCTATGCAATTAAAAAAAAAAAAAAAAAAAAAAACTTGTATGCAATAATTAAACAAAATTCTATTAACCCATAATAAGATTATAACTTCAAAGCCATTATCCTTCTATGCAATTAAAAAAAAAAAAAAAAAAACTCTATTACTCAAAAAAAAAAAAAAAAAAAAAAAACTCTATTACTCATAATTAAGATTATCCTTCAAAAATATTACCCTTCTGTGCAATTAATTAAATAAAACTCCATATTTATATAACTAAGATTATCATTTAAAATATTACCCTTGTATGCAATTAATTAAATAAAACTCTATTATTCATAACTAAGATTATTTTACAAAAATATTTAACTTAATTAAAATAAAGGCACAACATTACTTGAACTTAGCTCAAAGTATACAATATAGCAAAAAGGACACAACATACCAAATCCATTATTGTTCTTATTCTACTATAGACCAAACACTAACTAATTAATCAATTAAAAAAATTCACCAACAAAAAATGCACGTACACACATGGACTACGTGATAACTTCAATAAATTGGAGCTTAAATATATGCTATGTAATGATATAAAGACTTCATTAATAATTCCTCATCCAAGACAAAAAGAAAACAGATATACGCAAGCCCCTTCAGTCTATGCAAACCCATTATATTTAAACATGCAATTGATAATCAATCACAATCCAAATTAACTCATTATTAACTGCCTTTTACTAAAATTTTCATACAATTGTAACATTACATCTTACCGTTGCGAAAACCAATAAGATTGAAAGTTTTATATAGCAAATTTTCCCCTTTTTTTCATTTCAATCTTTTAAATTTATGCAGCAAGTTCTCCCACCTCAAAGATATGCAGAAGCTTCTCCCCCTTTACACTCATCCTGCCATTCATACAGCTAACATGAAATTCAAATACTCAATAATGTAACAAGCATTCACTACTCCTGCGTTGTCATTCGACAACATAATCTCTTCCGATTTCTCTATTTCTTCTTTCCCACAGTTCTGCCTAATTGGTCTCATTTGTTCTTAATTTTCTACGATAACCATATGCAAAGCCACATGTAGAATTTCACATCTACCCATTTCATAAACATTGGCAATTACAAATACACCCCTACAACTATATCCACTCTCATTCATAGGTTTCCTAAGTATCATACTTTTATGGCCCACCTTATATTTTAAATATTATTTGTATATCGATCCTAATCGGGCCATATATATTTACCGAATTTGATATATTTATTACTATATTGAATATATAATATTTGGTTTGGATAATGAATAACATAAAAATTGGTAGTTATAAATTGGTATTTGAGTTATGAATGATTTTAAAAAATAATTATGCACTTATAATTGTATTACATTTTTATTATAAAATCATTTATGACTATATTTTGTTAATCTATAATATCTATATCTATATATAGATAAAAGTGGGAATAAAGAAGGGATCATTACGATGGCCAAAAAAATGCCTCTGATGGATTAACAAAAATATTTTTAAAAATTTTAATTTTATTAGTTGAAAATAAAAAAAAAATAAAGGTAATTTCAACTCTAATTGGTTATATTAATTTCCGACTTAAATCTAATTTTTGTAGGGTAAAATAAGAAATTGTATTATATATTGAATAAGGTTTATATTAAATATGGTAAAAAAATAAAAATTCAATTTGATAAATTAAGAAATTATATAATATATTAATTTGAATAAATTAAGAAAAATTATATAATATTATAAATTATATAATATATTAAATATGGTATATTTTAAATATGATAAGAATATAAAAATTCAATTTGATTTGTTGTTAATATTTAATTTAAATATTAAATTAAAAATTAGAATTACTTTATATTAACGAATATTATTTTTTTTAAAATTAATGAATAATATTAATGAATACTTTTTTATTAAATCAATGAATAATAATTAATTATTAAAAAAGTGGAACAAGATCTTTTATTACATTATAAACTATTAGTTCAAATGAAAAGTGGTAATTTCTTTTAAAAAAATGGTAATTCATTGGTTATGTTAATTTTCTATTTAAATTTAAATTTTATTAAAAAATAAGAAATGATAGTATATATTATGTAAGGTATATATTATTTCCATTATTTCTGATCTAATGTAAATTGAGAAATTTTTTGAAAATAAAAAGGCAGCCACATATGATTTTTAGCTCAGTTTAACACAAATTTTGGAAAAAAAAAAATCTCAATTTGACCTCTAAAACTTTAGCCATGTGCAAGTAGGCCCAAAATTAAATTGATTAAATTAAACTCGGTTTTACAATATTGAATTTGATTAAATTAAACTTTAGCCATGTGCAAGTAGGCCCAAAATTAATTTAATCAATTAAATTAAATTGATTAAATTGCTTCATCCCCTAGCAGGAATTGATAGTGCTTACGTGCTTCTTAAATATAATATGAAATATTCTTCAAAATTACCATTAGCCATGTGCAAGTAGGCCCAAAATTAATTTAATCAATTAAATTAAATTGATTAAATTGCTTCATCCCCTAGCAGGAATTGATAGTGCTTACGTGCTTCTTAAATATAATATGAAATATTCTTCAAAATTACCAAAATATTTATTTTATTTTATTCTTTAAAGTACCTATATATATATATTGAGGTATTTGAATGCTTGATTGGAAGATTGTCGGTAAACATAGGTTAGGCCAAATGTCATATTCAGAATGTTCCTTTCTATAATTTATTATAAATCATAAACTGGATCGTTTAGCTTTGGAAAAAAGTATATATTTTTTTATATTGCATGAAATGTCATTTTCTATAAATTTTAGTTCTTTTGGAATATGATATTAAGTATTTGTGCCAAAAATTCGATGACTAAAACTAGTTGCCACATAGAATATATCCTTTACAAATGGGTGAATGACAGTCAAAAACGCACTACTTGGAATATCAACAGTTTTTTTAAAAATTCTTATTTTTTTTAATTTAAAAATCTATATTTTTGGATCAAGTATAAACATGGAAGAAGGAAAAAGAAAGCCATTTTAAAAAACATGAAGTTTGGATCGTGACTCTTGTTATAATGATAGCTAATCAGAAAATTAATTTAATTGAATTCTTATATCTTATGAATTTTTTTTTTTTAAAAAAAAGTAAGATGTGCTTGAAGAGAAAATTTATGTTGGAAACGAATTTCTAAAAGAAGCCATCACCAAATGCTAAGACGGAAAATTATTATCTGTTTATACACCAAATTAATAACATATTACCATTTAAATAAAATTACCGCTTTTATTATTTTAATGTAGTTATAGTAATTGGGTTCACTACTTTGCTTTCTCACAGGAGCCTATAGATAAGGTTGTTGGGCCATGACAATTTAACTACACCCATTATTTCAACGATGACAGGCACCTAACTAGCAGCCTTTGTTAATACATGTTCAAACCAGAGGCTCTTTTGATTTTAGTGATCACGTATCAAAAGTTTATTAGTTCGATTAATCCAAATTTGTGCCGGACAGATTAAAGAGTAGCAAGACGCTTTTTCACGAATGTTTAAAAAGCCTTTAGATTCAGAATTTCAATTCAAGACCTAACCAGAGACTCTTTGATTATAAAATAATATGATCAATTTGACATTTGCTCATTGAGTGTAGACTTTAGATTGGGATTAACAGATCTCGACAAATCAACATTTTTATCATGTCATTCTCAAAAGAAAAAAAAAAACATTTTTATCACTTGATATAACATCATATGTAAACATTTTTGTTTTATGTATACATCATAAAATAAAAACTGTAATCTTTCAATAGAATTACAGCCTAAAACATCTTCTGAATGAAATGTTTCAGTGAATTCTATCTAATGAAGTCTTAGTTGGTTAAAGGTTTAATTTATATATATTTATAGTTTTCACCCATTTCTTAGCCAAAAGGGAAAAAAGTGAATTTCAAAATTTTTTTTTACTATATACTGTGTACACAATTAAATTAACATTAGTAGGTTACTAAAACAGGGCAGTCCCCCTGTTTTAGAAAAGAAAAATGAAGAGATAATAGGTTAAAACTTCACATTATTGATCTACACCAACAGAAAGAAAGAAAGAAAGAAAGAAAGAAACAAATAAAAAGGAATCCATTCTTGTTATTTCTTTCTCAGACATGACACTATCACATTTTTATCATGAAAAGCAAGATACATAAATTGCAAATAATTAGAAAGCCAAGGAAAATGAAGTGCACAAACTTTTTTTTTTTTTTTTTTTTTTTTCAAGAATAATGAAGTTTTTTTTTTTTTTTTTTTTTTTTGAACAGCCAGTAAATATATATTTTTTATTATTATTAAAATCAGAATAAATTTAACAAACTGTGGGATATAATCCCGGACCGATTAGGTTTGTGCACAAACTAATGGAAAAAAGAATCAATAATTAAATTAAAACTTTTATTTAATTGGCCATGTGAATTTTATTTACGAATTCAGAAATTGGAAATGCAAAAGATATTATCTAAATATCATGAATATTATAAAAAAAGAGGAACTTTTATTAATTAAAATTTATTTAACAACTTTTTGATTAATTATAAGCCATAAGATGAACAATTAAGTGCCCATTAGCTGAGACAGCCTTTATTAATTAATAACACTAATCTTTAATTCTTAATAACCCCACCATCACCATGTGCAACAAAAAATTTGACGCAGCATTTCAAGATCGTAACATAGCGGGGCCCACCACCGTTCCTTTTTTTTTACATTACTGTACATGCCGACGGATTTTCTTCACTTAAGCAATCACATCGACCCACATAACATCCTCTCCGGCAACCGTTGTAGTAATAACCACCGCCGCCCCAGCTATCATACACTGGCCGTCCATAAGCCTCGTAGCATGGCGGTGGAGCTGGTGTTCCATAACAAGGAGGTGGTCCTCCATAACCCTCGTAACATTCTCTGGTTCTTTTGGTTTCTCTTTTGGCTTTTCGGGTTCCTTGGGCTTCTCTGGTTCTTTTGGTTTCTCTTTTGGCTTTTCGGGTTCCTTGGGCTTCTCTGGTTCTTTTGGTTTCTCTTTTGGCTTTTCGGGTTCCTTGGGCTTCTCTGGTTCTTTTGGTTTCTCTTTTGGCTTTTCGGGTTCCTTGGGCTTCTCTGGTTCTTTTGGTTTCTCTTTCGGCTTCTCCGGTTCCTTGGGTTTCTCCTTTGGCTTCTCTGGCTCCTTAGGTTTCTCCTTTGGCTTCTCCGGTTCTTTGGGTTTCTCCTTTGGCTTCTCTGGTTCTTTGGGTTTTTCAGGTTCTTTGGGTGGAGGTGGTGGTTTTGGAACTACAATTTCAATACCCTTAACTGATTCACCACCCTTACAGCAAATCTTTTTCTTGACCTTTTCCGGACTGCAACATACTACAGTCACTGTAACTGTATTTGCCTTCTCATCGTATATTTGACTTTGAATTTCTCTTGTAAAGAAAGCGAAAATGAATTGCAAAATAACTCAGTCACTTTCTTTTTATAGTATAAAATACACAAACTAGCGAAAAATCAAGAAAATGATACTCACGAGGAATTTTACAGAGTACTTTCTTGATTTTCCTGTTGCATTTTTCGCAATTAAGATCAACCTTAATCACCATTGTTGTTACTTTCTGCAACATTATAATTAAATTATAAAACCAAAAAAAAATTCAATAAATCTAATAAAAAAGAAAATAATCAAGAAAATTAAAATAAAAAACCACCACCACACAAAAATAAATAAAGAGAAGAATAAGCTAGGTGGGCATAGTGTAAAAGATGATAAGAGGAAGAAGAGCCACACACAGAACAAACCTTTTCCACCATGGCTATGACTTTGGCAGTGACTCAAAGAAATCTGAATCTGATGAAACTATATTTCAGGGAACTGAAGTGAAACATAAGGGGAGAGAGATCGATGAAAAGAGTCGTATTAATTAAGGTAGCTTGCTTCTTAAGTAGAGAAGCAAAGAGAAAAAGTTCAATAAAAAAAAAAAAAAAAAAAAAAAAAAAAAAGAATGGTACCATACACTTAGCAGCCAATAGGACGTGGACAAGAGGCATAAGAACATTGAATTTCATGCAGTCATCAATCCATTGTCGTTATGGGTTGCTGACTTTCCAATCTTTGGTGTGCATGTGCTGGCTCTGATTGCCACATTTCACCTTTCTCATATAATATTTGATCTCATCTAAAAAATTATCAAACAAAAACTTGTGTTCTAAGGTACATGTAGTTTGGTCAGGTTCAATCATGGATCATGCACCGCCAGTTGGTAACCGTACACGTGTCCGAATAACTATGCTAGGACATGCTCCAAATTTCAAAGAGGGGACTGTGCTGTTGTATTGGCATTAGAAAAGAGAAAAAGAACCAAAGCCCATAAGGCCCAGCACAATCGACACTCAGCCCAACCTGCCAACTATTTTAATTTTATAAATATATAAATTCATACTTCAATTTATAAAAAAAAAATTAATTGAATTCTCAATTTTTTCATTTATTAAATATTTTAATTTATAAAATTAAACATATTGAACATCTGAAATTACAAACTTTATATATTAAACACTTGCATGATAAAAAAGATGAAGTATTATAACTCTCTACTTTCTCTCTTTTCTCTTGAACCTTTTAACTCTAATTTTGTTTTGGAGCGGCTGCTTTTTATCAGCAGTACCCCTACCTTCAACTTTTTTTTTTTTTTGTTTTTTTTTTTTTTTTCGCTCACCTCCTTTTGCTTTTAATTTCTATTTAGTCCCTAATAAACTCGGAATCTGTTTTTCCTACATATTTATAGTTTTTTGTCACTTCGTTTTTTTTTTTTTTTTGTTTTTTTTCGCTTCACCTCTTTTTGCTTTTAATTTTCTATTTAGTCTAATAAACTCGGATCTGTTTTTCCTACATATTTATAGTTTTTTTGTCACTTCTTTATTAGGATGGTCCCTTCTTTGTGATGGTTTATTACTAATTAAAACAATATTATATTTGATTTTATTTGGTTGTAGACTTCATATCTCGATTTGCAAGTCTGTATCTTCGATCAATGTAGCCTACTAGTGCGACATGTTCCTTTATTAATGTTATTGATACATAGTGACGTAAACTCATCTGTGTTCGCTATATATTGCAAATTCTTGGAAAATAATTCAGGTATAGAAGATTCAGAAGAGTTATTATTTTGTTGTCTAAATCAATTAACGAATTAATGGATGCCATGAAAATTTATATCTTTTGTCAAAATAAACTCTAAGCGGAAAGATCTAATATTATATTTTTTTAATTTTAGTTTCATTGTTCAAAAAAACATGAATTCTTTTGGTTTGTTAAAATATTAGTGAACTCTGTTAGCTACTAACAGGAGAGTTTTATGTCTGGTCTATATGAGTATTTGTACTTCTTAATATTATTATTAATGAATTATATTTTTTAAAAAAAACACTTGCATGATAGTTAAGAATTATAAAAATTATTACAAAAATTTTTTATTAAAAGATACATAAAAATATATCATTTATTAAATACATATTAAGTCATTACGTTTAAACGTTTACTAGATTTATAAATTAAATGGTTTAATAGATGAATAAAAAAGTTGAGAGCGTAAATAGACTATTTTTATAAATTTTAAATACAAATTAAGCATTAATTATTAAATCAATTATATGTTCAATATATTCGATGTTACATGCATCGTCTTCAACACCTCTATGGATCCAACCTTTATAATTTTAAATAGATTTCAAACAAATGGATTCAACTTTTTACAATTTTAAACGGATTTCACGTAGATGTAAAAAAGATTTACTGTCTTTAGAATCTAATACTTTAGTGTTGCTAATTAGACTCAGCTACATAAATTTTACTAGTCGTGAATCCGCGCTTCGCGCGTGAGTATATATTTATATATTGTTTAAACTGTTCTTTTGTAATATTTTTTTGCAACTTTTATACTGAAATTCAAGAATAATAGTGATTCGAATAAATTGTTTAATATGTATTATTTTTAATGAGATTTATATCGTAAAAACCAATTATATATATAGTAAAATTAAACATAAACACACAAATTTTCATTAAATAAGAAATATAAATATTTTTATTAATTATTATTGGTTATTTTACTAACTATCCCTTTAAAAATGTTTATAAAATACATCTTCTTAATTAATTATTTTACTTAAAAAATTTCTAAAAGAAAATAAAAAAGAAAATGATAAACAGAAAAACAGAAAAAAAATACAGCAGCACAGTTAGTCCGAAAGAGATAAAAAAAAAAAAAAAAAAAAAGCCGAAAAGAGATAAAAAAAAAAAAAAAAAAAAACAATGTTGTAAAAAAAAAAAAAAAAAAAAACAATGTTGTGTTGTATAAAACTATAATTTGTGGTTGGTTACCGTTTTAGGATAGATAATTATATATACATATATATATATAAAGTTCAACAATTTAAATAATTCATTATAGATAATAGAAAAATATAAAAAATTCTAAAATTTCTAAAAAAAAAATAAAAAATATATATCTAAGTAAAGTTTCATTAGTATAGTAATTAATTCCTTTAAAATTGTTGATTTTTTAGATATAAAAAATAAATATTCAAGGTTTAGTAATTCTTTTGTTGATTTAATATTTCATATCCAATTTGACATCCCATAATAATCTAAGAATAATTTCATAAATCAATAGAAAATACTGATTAGCATGATACCCAAACTATGGGTTCCGTTATGTATGGCACAACCCAAGAGAGAGTGAATTGGGTTTTAAAAAAAAAAATTTAACTTTTAAAACACAAGATTAGAATTCTATAGCAGCGGAAATATAAAGTGTTTATGAGTCTCAATTATCAAGTTTAAAAACTTCCTCACAAGACTTTTGCAAGATTAGAAAGACTCTGTAAAGAATAGTTATTATGTTTTAGAACTGCTTAACAAAGCTTATGCAAGATTAGAAAACTGATTAAAACTTAGATTGTGATTTCTATTGAATATAAAAGGATAGATTAGAACTTGGTAAAATCACAAGACAGAAATCTAGAGTTCTAAAGTTCTACAAAGATAAAGCTTATACACGTTTAGAAATAGAAATTCATTAACAACTTTGCGAAGGAAGATGACAGTATTTCTTGTCCTATTTCAAATCAGGAAAAACTTTAATGAAAATTTTTTTTTATGTTTTTAATCTTTATTGGATTTATGCCCATATTTTAGATTATTTATTCAAAATAAATGCAATAATAATTGATATTTATAAAAATTATTTTAAAACCTACTAAAATATTTCTAGAAAATAAAAAATTCAAGATTAATTATAAAATTGATTTTATTTATGTATATGTTAATATATTGATCTTTTTGCAGAGTCTAAGGAAAAAACATTATTTTTTTATTTTATTTCTTGGAAATTAGTAAGTATAATATATTTGATATTTGAATTATTGGAAGTGATTATTTTTTATAATAAAAACAATATTTTTATTTTTAAACATCATACAACATCCTCACGCAAAGCACTAGTTATTTTACTGAAAATGAACCATTATAATATCTGGAATTTTTGTTTCCAAAACTTGTAGTATATATAATTTTTTTAAAACGAAAAATTCATTTTTAAAGTCCAAGACTCAAAGTACAAATCCAAGTTGAGACTTAAATTAATGAAGTAGGCTCGAGTCCACCATACAATTTGTCCAATATTTATTTCGTTCACTTGAATCCCGCATAATAGAAAAGATCATTAAAAAAAAAAAAAAAAATTTACACCTTTGATTTTTTTATTTGAGCTATTTGTTGAAATGCTTGCAAATCCGTTCTCTGATCTCAGCTCTGATATCGTCGAGAAGAAAGATCATACAAAGGAGAAAGATGGCTTAAGGAGAAGAAATTAATAAGGCGAATGAGAAAGATGGAAGTGCTTAAGGTTATACGATTGTGCAACCATGGGGAAATAGCTAACTAGCTAACTCCCTCTATCCATAATAAGAGAGTGAGAGAAAGAGTTAGTGAGGGAAGGATGGTAGTTTTACTCATTATCCATTAATTAATATTCTAAAAATATTTATATAATTATTTTTCTTGAAAGAAAATTGTATATATATTTTTTGAAGGCCGGAGCTAGGACAATTTTTTTGGGACGCCAAATGAAATTTTTAAACATTTAGAAGGGCCAAATATAATTTTTCTATATTTAAAGGATCAAAATGTAATTGTTTGTAAGGAATTTTCTTTGAGAAAAAATTGTTTGGGGCCACAGCTCCCTTGGGCTTTCAAATAACTTCGTCCATAAGTAATTATAATCAGGTCTAGGACGGGATTGGATAATAAAAGAAATTTCTAAACGAGTTTGGAATGAATTTGCATACTTAATTTATAATTGAGTTCGAGTTCGAGTATTGCATTTTAAATGGATAATCGATCCGCTATCACCTCTAAGTGAGAGTCAGAGTGAGAGTGAGTAGATAATTTAGTCAACTACCTTAATTTTTTCATAGAATTAATCATTTTCTCAATTTTTATGTAAAGTTAAAAACTGTCAAATTTAATGAAATAGAAAGAGTATCTTTTTATTATAGAAAGAGTATCTTTTTATTTTACTCGGTTCTAAATATCGAAATAATTTTATTCCTAATAAGTAGTTTTTATATCAAACAAAAATTAAATATGAAAATATATAAAAACAACTCTTTTGTTTAATAAACTGTTTGTTATTTAAACGAATATATATATTTTTTTTAACGATCACCTAAGCGAATACATAAATTAAAAACTATTAAAATAAGCAAAAATAATTTATAAACCTTAACATTCAAATTAATCAATAAATCTAATTGCAACATACATACTCTACTCTGTTATAGAATATATAGATTATATTTTATATTTTTCATTGTTTTCGATTTTTTTAAATAATGAATGAAAATATTATTTAAAATCCTAATAATTGTTTTTCTACCTATTAGAGAAGAAGGAAATCAAATAAAATAAATAAAACAGTGGGCATAAGTAAATATTGGTTTTCTCATATATATTTTGTTTGGAGAATTGTTTTGCTATTAGAGTTGGTATTTCTTTTGCTTGGGAGTGAGGTTTGAGTTAGATAGTTTGGAGGCTATTCGACTTGTAAATTCAGTTATGTTTGGTTCTCATCCTTTGGCAGCTTGATTTTGGATATTTAGGTTTTGTCATCTCGAGACTGGCAGTGTTCCCTGCATCATATATATTTTATATCAAGGGAATTTTACAACGGATCATTTGGCGAGATTAGATCATTCTCTACTCTCTTTTTTTTTTTTTTTTTTTTTTTTGGGAGATTAGATCATTTCCTTACTCTCTTTTTTGTTTTTTTTTTTTTTTTTTTTTTTTTTTTTTTTTTTTTTAGGAGATTATGTCTTCTTCCCTTTCTATGATTCTTTAGAGTGATGCATGTGATGTTAGCTTTCGAAATTAGGTTGCTTTGTTTCTTTTTCTCTCTTTGTTACTAGAAAAAAAAAAGATTTAAAAGGCATTTTATGCTTAAATGATACTGATAAATGGATTAACAATCCGTATTCTGTTTCTAATTACTTTTAATTGTTCTTTCGCGCAAAATTTGTTTCTCGATTTTCTTGCTAATTCGTTTTCACACAGGATTTGATTTTTCATGAAATTTAGCAACGGAAACACATCATTCCTAACGTTTTCATTTCTAACTTTAATATATGATTTTAAGATCTATCCTGTTTTTTAATCCGTTGCTAGTTAGAAATGGATCGGTCCATACTAAATTTTTGTTTTTAAACTGCATTTTTGTACGGTGAGTGTTTATAGTGAGATAAATAGGGTAATGAGATCTTAGATTAGATAAGTTTACTACAGGCTTTTGAAGCTTTAAACCTATTCAAATTCTAGTGTAGGTCCGGCTGAAAGACAATTTTATTCAATAAATAGTATCAAACACAAATATTCAATTTATTTGTTTTTTTTTGTTTTTTAAAACTTATTTCTGTCTTATTTCTTGTCTAAAATAAAAAAGTCTTAAAAATTCCTTCTATTTTTTTATTCTAAAACGAAATAAACTAAAAAAATAGTTATAATCTCAAGAAATAAATAAAGAAAAATGATTTTCAGTGAGAAATTAAAGTTAAGTGCACTTAATTGTAAAATTCCATTCAAATATCAAAATAGAAAAAAATTAAAAATTCAATTAGAACAAATATAATAAGCCCTTTTGTTGTAATTGACATAATTGAGCAAATTACATCATATAGGCCAAAAATCCAAAGTGTATTATATATATATATATATATATATAACTATATTATATATATAATGAAAAATTTTACGTCAATCATTTTATTTTATGGAAACTATATATATATATATATATATAATGAAAAATTTTACGTCATCATTTTATTTTATGGAAACTAAACTAAATAGGACTAATTTCGCTCCGATTCAAAAGTTTAAAACATCGGTTTTGATTCTTATTATAATCCTGCTTAAAATTGATTATGTATTGGATTCGTTGCACTACTTATTAAACTCAAATATACCTATTAGCCAAATGTGAACCTAAAGTGTACAAATCTTTCAGACAAAAGAAGGGCGCTACATACTTATGATCTTTTGATGAATATAATTTATTGATGTCAGCCTAGTTGAAGGCCCAAAAGGTAAGGTCTCAAATGATTTCTTAGTGGCATGTCCCTCTCGGGCTTTACATAAGTTAGGCACGTAATTAGTGATTTTTTTTTTTTTTGCATAGTTCTAGAAAGTAGTGAATATTCTAGAATCAATTTTACTTGTTATACACACAAGAAAATTGTATACATAAGTTGCTATTCAAATTGAGTTTTTGAATTAAGAAATGAATTATGTAATCAAATTTATGATGAGAATGAATTTATTTTGGACTCTGTTGACGATGGAAGGAGGAAGGGTTTTTGTTGATTGATTTTTCCGATAGATGAACTGAGTATATGTGTTGGTTTCCTCAAGTCTTTAAATGGGTAGTTAGCCTAAATTTTAATGAAAATATTGAGAATTTTCGGGCAAGAAAAATAAAATAATTACACAATTATCTTATTGAAGGAAGTTAATTAACTATCGAGATTATAATAGAATTAATTTAGCAATATAAGATAATATTAGTTTAGAAAAGATATATCAATGAAAAAGTTATAAGTAAGTCAAAGTTAGCAGTTAGAATTAATAACTAAGGATTAGATTCCCGAACTAGAAAAGTTTTTATTTAGATTTTCCTTTCTAGATGTTTATAATTTTAAGGAAGGAATGTTAGCAGCCGGTAGAAGATCGGAAATGGATATAGCTTCTGCAAATCAAGCAAAATAAAAATGTGAGTACTGTTAGAAAATTTGATTACTTACTCGTATGCATTCATCCATGCACGGATAATTATGATAGCATTCACACATGATATATAGTCCCTATATATACACATACACACACAGGTGATGCATTTTGATTTGAATTTGTACGAGTTGTATTATTGGTGCGTTGTGCTTGGATGATTTGGAATGAAGCCTAATCAATAGTGACGTGAGGCCTAAAAACGAGAGGAATTAGAGACCTTGACAGGTGGTTCGGCCAGAGATATAACAGACCTGGAAGCGGCGGCGGTTAGAAACACTGACAAGTTGCTCCATCTTGATCTTAGTTATGAAAGTCTAGAAGCGGCAGGTTAGAGTTCTCATAAAGTCACTCAACTTGCAGAAGTGATTTTGGCAGACTAAATCATCTGATGATGTGCAGTTGATGATGACCGATTACTTATGATGTGATATTAACTATAAATGTTTCTGTGTCATTCTGTGATTGGGCATGTGGCCATGCAAGGATTAGTAATATTATGTACCAGGAGTGGCAACTCTCTCACTCCACTCACTGAGTTGAGGTGCTCATCGCTGTTTCAATTATTTTAAGTTTGCATGCATATTTTTTAACCTTAATTCAAGTCTTTCTGCAGCCGGTCATATCGAGGATGCTATGGAAAATGTATATAGAGGGTTATATAGAAATCATTGTAATTTAGTTACTGCAGCTACTGAAAGTTGATATAAGTAAATTTTTTTGCGGTTTAGAAAACCAACGTTATCTTTTGATAAAATATAAAAAGAGAGAACAATAACAATTATAATGATGATAGTATAAACAAATCAGTGACTATTCTTTTATTATAGTTACTTTATTTTTAATTTTTCTTTTAAATTTCGTTCATGATTAAGTAAATTTTTTATACTTTTCAACATTTTTGAAAATTGTCAAGGATAATACTTGGCAAACAAATATATGTATTAGATCTCCATTTACCAATCCTACCTTCCCCTTGCTTTGCTTTGTTCTTAATTTAAGAAATCCTGTGTCAGGTAAAGATCAATGGTGAACTTTCTTGCTTGCTTTCTTTCCATTTGAAAAAACACAGAAGAAAAAAGAAAAAAAAAATATAGAAAAAAGGAAAATCAGAAAGAGAACCGACACTTAGCCAGGTGATACTGATAATGATATAAAGACCATAGAAATAGCAAAGACAAGATACACCTGCTCTGCCAGCTAATACATGATGAGCAACGACAAAGAAAGGAAAAAGGAAAATAATCATATCATATCATATCATACATATACCATATGGGTGTGTACAGAAGTAAAATCTGTTGTGGGGTTTCTGCGGTTGGTGGCCTTTTTTATGCAGCGGAAACACAGAGGAAAGTGTAGACAGACAGATCACAGGTGGTGATGCTAAGCTCGCACCAGATAAAACGACTTTACACCAAACATAACCACATTTAGGGGCCTCCCCTCCCTCCCTATCTATTCACATATTCATCATCTTCAAGCAACCATTTTTGACTAGACACTAGAATAGGAAAGGAAAACAAATTTTAAACAAACATTAGCATTCTTCGAGCATTTGCATTGGTGGGGTTGGGGGAAATCTTACTCCGTACAATGTTGCAGAGACAAGATCTAAAATCAAATAATGATGGGTTTGAATAATTAACATGTATATATGTATCGGTTGATGCAGTACCAATAGCTCAATAATCGAGTGCCGACTTCATGTTCTAGAAAATCAAGAATTCAAACCCTAATGTCTCTCTCAGAGTTTCTGAGATTCCAAAAAACAAAAAATAATGATAATAAATGACACAACATCGAAAGAATTTACTATCAGACAACGAAATCAATATTATCGTTCAAACACCGATTGACAAGTTTCCTTTCATTTTCTAAACTTTTCAAGTACCGGCTTGACTCAACATTTGAATAAGCTGTCAACTGAGGATACCAATTCTAATATGAACAAAGGAAGAGATCATCAAGCAAATCGATAATGATTCACATTGTTCAAAGATAATATCCATAGTCCATAAAATCTAACATATTCATTTAGTAAAACAAAAATCCAAACTACATGATGCAAATAAAAAAATACATGCTCCAAGTAGTAGCATAATCTCTCTATCTTCTTCACCAGTTTAAACATTGACAACAATAATCAGTAGAAGAAATTTGGGTCATCCAAACAAAACGTTAGGAAAAAACCCAGATCTTCATCGACTCGGACAACAACCAACATAGGAGAAAAACTATACTTCCTCCTCTAGAAAACCATGATAGTAAAAAACGCCAAAAACCTAGTTAAACGCATGAGCATACATCTAACAAGTCAGTCTCTTGCTCACTAGCTTCCCCTAATTGCAGTAGACTCCACATTTTTCCTCAAATTTAATAACCACACTGTACAAACCACCAAAAAACACTCCCTATATACAAACTCAATAACAATCAACCACTCAGTCTAATTAGTAATTACCTCTGATAAAAGAGTTCTGGAAAAGGGCACTTCTTTAAGGACTAGAAGATGAAGCCTCCTGTCTTGGCTCTCTCAAGTACCCAAGTAGTGTCTCAGCCTGCCATAATCAACCAAATAAACATTTGAATTCTCTAATTACACAGTGGATAATGCACTTATATAAAACTCCAATCAATTAATAGCCCAAATAACTAAGGATCAACAAGAAATTTCAACCAAATAGACATTTGAAATTCTCCAATTAAACAGTTGATAATGCACTAATATAAAATTCCCAATTGCTTAATAGCCCAAATAAGGATCAACAATTTCTTGTTTTTTTAGCTACAAGATCAAATAGAGTAATAATGTATGTACCTTATGCTTAGCACGAACACTCCCCGTCTGTGAAAGGGCAACAAGGGGAGGAATCCCGCCTTCCCGAACAAGCAACCCACGGTTCCTCACACTATCAGTACACAACTGCAATAATGTAAGCACTGCAAATTCCTTTCCTTTAACAGACCCATCTTCTATTGCCTCCACAAGTGCAGCAATCCCTCCTTCCTCCACTATTGCTTCTCTCCCTTCCTCTATAGCAGCCAAGCTACTCAAAACCACCATTGCCTTCTCCGCCATGCCCATCCCCTGCTCTGCCACCATCACGACCAGCGGCTTCACAGCCCCAGCACTCACGGCCCTCTCTTTGTTCGGTTTAATCGAGCAGAGCTTGTAAAGAGTCGTTAAAGCATCCTTTTTACCTCTGTTCGATCCACTGATTAACAAAGAAACTAATGGTGGAATTGCTCCACAGACACCAATTGAAGTCTTGTTCTCCTCTAACAATGCGAGACTGAGCAAAGCACAAGCGGCGTTTTGCTTAGAAGTTTCAGTTCCTGTTTTGAGCACATAAACCAAAGATTTTATAGCTCCATTATTTGTAATTAGACTCTTGTTTTCCTCATGGAGAGAGAGATTTAACAGAGCTGTAACTGCGTGTTCTTGTGTCCACGGGTCGCTGCATCGGAGAAGAGGAATTAAGGCCGGAATTGCTCCCGATTCGCCTATTAATGCCCGATTATCAGACCTATTCTTTGCGAGAAGTCGAAGTTTTGCTGCCGCCGATCTCTTCACTGCAATCGACGGAGATTGGAGCCCGTCCACGCAGATCTTGACTGTCGGTTGGAGATCTTCTGGCGAAATACTCTCGATAATTTCCGTCGAGAAGCTCTCTCTCTGTAGAAACCCTAGACACGGCTCCGGCTCCGGCTCAGACGTTTCACATCCTTCACTTTTAGGTCCATTTTCAGGGGAAGGTAAACTCGCGAGACGCTGCAATTCCCCCGATATATCGCTGCTACAAGCCGAGAAATCGCTAAATGCTTGAGAAATATCGAGGAAGTCCTCATCGTTGTTGAAAGAAGATTTTCCAGATTTATCATTACTGTTATTGTTACGAGTAGCAAGTTCCCCGAGACGCATGTCGATGACCGATTCGGTCAGATTTTCCGATACGTAAGCCGAATTGTCGGTGGCAGTGGTAAAGGAGCAACAGCTGCTACTGTCGTTCTGGTAAAAATTGGAACGTATTGTACGCATAGAACGGCCGACATGCCGGCTGATTTTGGTAGTAGAAGCAGACGACGGGTTATAAAAATTGTTGTTTCGGGCTAAAGGAAAACGATTTGAACTGCAATGTGGATGTGGTGAATCTTCTAAAGACACCATTTTTACAATGAAATGATTTCTGGGTGTTTCTTATCTTTTCCTTTTTTGGGTTTTCAAGACTATTTCATGGTTGTCTCTGTATATACAAAAAAAAGGAAGCGAGTGTTGCAGAAGAAGATGATCGATGATTTTAATGGCTACTGGCTTTGCTGGTATAGTGGTTTTGGTATCTGGGTGAAGATAAAGATACAGGGGGTTAGCCTTTTTTTGATAATGGTCACAGACAGACATATGGTAAGTTCAGGTCTTGTCGGTTTTGTTTTTTACATCACTGGTCACTTAGTCAGGTAGGCCAGTTTCGACAACTTACACCCTTTTAAAAAAAAAAAAAAAAAAAAAAAAAAAAAAGGTAGGCCAGTTTCGACAACTTACACCAAAAAAAAAAAAAAAAAAAAAAAAGAAAAATCAGATCAACGGTTTTCAGTCAGCTGTGGCATAATAGAGGTTGCCGTCCTGTGTGTGTAACATAGTATTGGTAATTCAGAATATTTTTAGCGCTTTTTTTTTGTAATTTCAAAAGTTGGTTTTGTTGTATCATATACCAAAGTTTCAAATTAAATTTAGGGTAAAAATATGGCAGTGCTAAATGGCACGGGTTTTGCCGGTTAAACCATTAAAAAACCTAAGTTTTACGAATAATTTTTATTATATCTTAAATTAAATTTTCTCTTTCTAGTACTTTGAACTTGAATATTAGATATGATAATACGTGCTTTTAAATCGCACTAATTTAATGGGTAAAATATTTTTTTCATGAGACCCAATTTAACTTTTTTTTCCCTGAATCGGACTCTTTTTCCACCATCATTATTTATAAATAAATAAATATTTATATTTATTTACATAAATATTAAAATAAAAATAATCTATTTATTCTAAAAATAAAATATTTTTATTTATTTATATAATATTGGCAACAAGTAATGATTCTCCAAAAATAAAATGACTCCATAATGAATAAAACATATTTTTATAAGACTATAATGAATAAAACATATTTTTATAAAGAGATTTTAACTTAAGTATAAATAACCAATTTCATTCTTAAAAAATGGGCATAACAAAAATCTAAACTAAATATTCTATGAAATATAAATAAGCTAAATTTATTAATTTTACTTAGTTTTTTAATAAATTTAAATTCCAGACCAATAATTAGTTAGAGTGTTATTAAAAATCGATCAAGTTCTTCTTTGGTTTAACCTAACCATATAGACAGGTATAGGTACCAATACAAAATAAATATTTTATTTGTAAGATTGGATCGATTTGAAATTACAGATGGCTACCAATGTTAACTAACACGTTGAAGATGCAGGATGCTAAGGAGAAGAAAGTTGGATTCAAGGTACACATAATTGTCTTACACACTATTTTAATATGACATTTTTTATTTAATGGGGAGAGAGGAAAATTTCTTTCTATCATATAACACTTGACTCATAAATGCCAAATATTAACCCGACCCCTAGATTTGATGAGCCTAATTGCAAGCCCTGCGTTATACCACTATTTATATAATATTGGCAACAAGTAATGATTCTCCAAAAATAAAATGACTCCATAATGAATAAAACATATTTTTATAAGAGATTTAACTTAAGTATAAATAAATTTCATGCTTAAAAAATGGCATAACAAAAATCTAAACTAATATTCTATGAATATAAATAACTAAAATTTATTATTTTACTTAGTTTTTTATAAATTTAAATTCCAGACCAATATTAGTTAGAGTGTTATTAAATGATAAGTTTTTGGTTAACCTAACCATAAGACAGGTATAGGTCCAATAAAAATAATATTTTATTTATTAAATTGGATACGATTTGAAATTAAGATGCTACCGTAACTAAAGTTGAAGATCAGGATGCTAGGAGAAGAAAGTTGGATTCAAGGTACAATATTGTCTACAATATTTTTAATACATTTTTTTTTTTAATGGGGAAGAGAGAAAATTTCTTTCTATCATATAAACTTCAAAATGCCAAATATTAACCGACCCTATTTTATGAGTATTGAAGCTCGTTATACATCAATACAATCAGAATTTCGTGAGGACATCAATTGTGCTGTCAATTTCTAAAAATTTTATCAATTTCATGAAAATGTGATTTTTTTTTCTCTCCTCTCAAATTATGCATTGTCCGATTTGGCTCGATTCGAGTTTGGTTCGTTGTGAATCACAAAAATCTCGATTTCTTTGGGTTTCTAGCGGTTTGACTTGTAGTATTATAATTAGATTAGATTAAGAAATACATGCATTAATTAAGTGTACATACGTTCCCTCAATAGTTAAAAAGACTTACTATATCCATTAAAATGATGACAATCTAAAAATCAGACATAATTCTAGGGATTGAGATGTGATACCTTAATTAGCATATATAGTTAATCAATGTCAAGATATTTGAAATCATTGAAATATAACTATAGCCTTTAATTATTAGCCAATATTATTGTATATAAAAATAATATTAAAAATTATTTAACCTCATAACACGATATTTTTAGACAGAATGATTAAATAATTTAACGGGATTAAACTTCATATATTAATTAATGGACTCTATTGAAAATAAATTTCATAGGTGCAGTCAGGCTTTACGAATATGGGAGAGTACCCACTTCAGTCATGTAAATCATGAGCTTGAAGAATGCCAAAAAATGGTCCTTGAAGTTCAAACAGGTGATGCCATCGCCAAACAACAGGAGTTAAATGGTAAAATTAAAGAACTTCTAGCCTGCAAAGAATTGATGTGGTTTCAATGATCAATGGTGGATTGGTTTAAGGAAGGTGAAAGAAACACATCATTTTTTCACTAGAAAGCAACAGGGAGATAGAACAGAAATTTGATTTTCTAAAATTCAAGATGATATAGGCAAGTGGTTCTATGAGGAGTCAGAACATTGCTTGCACCATGACTGAATACTTTCGTCATTTATGTACATCCTCAAATCCATTTGCTATTATGGAAGTAATGGATTCAGTAGAGCCAAAGTAACTATGGAGATGAATATTGATCTTTGTCGTCCCTATTCGGTTGAGGAAATTGTCATCACACTCAAACAAATGCACCCCCTCTAAAGCTCCTGGCCCTGATTGTATGCCTTATTTCTTCTTCCAAAAGCTATTGGCCTATTGTGGGTCCTAATGTCACAAATAAGGTGTTAGCTATTCTTAATAATCATGAATCTCCTGAGTCTATAAGTAAAACTTATATTGCTCTAATTCCTAATGTGAAGGACCTAGATTATACTAGTAAATTTAGGCCTATTAGCCTTTGTAATGTGATTTTTAAACTTGTTAAAAGAGTCATAGCTAATAGGCTTAAAATTTTCTACCTGATATCATTAGCCTGTGTCAGTCTGCTTTTGTTCCTAGTCGTTTAATTACAGACAATGCCTTAATTGCTTGTAAGCTTGATATGAGTAAGGCATATGATAAGGTGGAGTGGGATTTTGTCAAATTAGCCATGCTTAAATTAGGCTTTGATAAAAATTGGATGGATTTGGTTATAAGATGTATTACCACAGTGTCTTACTCCCTGCTTATTAATGGAGAACCCTAAGAAACTTTTATGCCTAACCGTGGACTTCATCAATGAGATCCACTCTCTCCCTATTTGTTTTTATTTTGTGCAAAGGTATTATCGAGTTTGATTAAGAAAGCAGAGAGTAATCACTTGATTCATGGTGTTGGAATAGCTACAAGAGCTCCCTCCATCTCTCATTTGTTCCTTGCGAACAACGGTATTATCTTTGGGAGAGTAAATCTTGAACAGGCTTACACTTTGGCCAAAATCCTAGCAAATTATGAAGAAGAATCGAGCCATAAAATAAATTTTGACAAATCTGAAATTTCTTTTAGCAGGAATGTATCTCAATATTTTCGGGATGCCATTAGTACCATTCTGAGGGTCTGTCCGATAGAAGGATTTAGCAAGTACTTAGGTTTACCAACTCTTTTAGGAAGAAAAAAGAAGCAGATGTTTAGTTCCCTAGTGGATAGGGTAGCAAAAAAACTCAAGGGCTAGAAGGAGTCATCTCTTTCTAGAGTTGGTAAGGAAGTATTGCTTAAACCCATAGTTCAATCGATCTTGATATATATGATGTCCTGTTTCCTGCTTTGTAAGGATATTTATAATAAAATCAAAGTCTTATGGCAAATTTCTGGTGGGACCAACGAAGGATGAACGGCGCATTCATTGGGCAAGCTGGAAGAATTTGTGCAAATCAAAGTTCCTGGGTGGATTTAGCTTTAGGGACATTCATTCTTTCAACTTAGCTATGTTAGCTAATCAAAGCTGGAGACTTATATCAAATGATAATTATTTTTTGGGTAAGGTTTTCAAAGCTCAATATTACACTGTCTCCTCTTTCGCACAAGTTACAATTGGTTACCGCCCTAGCCATGTTTGGCACAACATTATAGAGTCTCGATGGATTATTGATCAAGGTACGAGATGGGTGATCGGTAATGGAGTACATGTTAGCATTTGGTCAGATAAATGGGTCCCGGGCCTTCCTGAATTTAGAGTCCCTTCTCCTCCTAATGGTTTCGAAGTGATGCTTCGATCAATGGTCTAATTGATTTTGACATAGGATTGTGGGGTACATGATTGGTTTTGAGGTTTTTTAAGATCAGATTGTTGCTCTTATTTATAAAATCCCTCTTAGTCGTGTACATAGAAAGGATAAGCTAAGTTGGACACACACTAAGCAAGGCAATTTCATTGTCAGATCAACATACCAGTTAGTTCAAAATTCCACATATGTGTCGTCCCTCTCCAGCTCTTCAAATTCTAGTAATCGAGAATGGTGGAAAAAGCTATAAAACCTTAATATACCCCTTGAGATTAAACATTTTATCTTTCATGCCAGTACCTTACAGCTCCCAGTAAACTCAACATTGGTTCATCAGGGTGTCAGTGTTGATATTATCTGTCTAGTGTGCGGTGAAAGTGTTGAATCAACTGATCATAGTCTCCTTTATTACCCTTTTTTACTAGAGTTTGGTTGCTCATTCTTCTTCGCCTTTCATTGGGCTCTCAAAATCTAAGTTTTAAGGAGTGGTTTTTTGATAAAATGCAATCTTCCAGAAGGAACAAGTGGAATTATTAGTGGTCATTGTGGTTATTACATGGGCTTTATGGAGGAACAGGAATAATTGGCTCCTTCA